CTAGGTGGTGAGCCAGAAGAAGTGAATCCCCCGCGCAATCGCCAGACGCGGGAGTCTCACGGTGCTATCCAACCCCCTTCTCAGCAAGACACTGCGGATAACTCAACTGTTGGATCACCTGTTTCTGCGACTAGCCATCAATTCCAAGGGTTGAATCTCGCCGGACGAAGCTTAACTCCCTTGCAGCAACAGCAGTTGATGCTACTCAAGTCCGCTGGTAATCAACAAGCTGGTCTGGCTGACCCTCTCAGCTCTGCCGCTCTGGACCAAGCCGCGCAAGCCCGCCAAGGTCTTGTACACAATCAGATGGCACAGTTTAATGCGCTGCAGGCAGCACAGAACCGCCAGTCTTCCCGATTTTCTTTCGCCAATGAGACGGGTTCTAAGAATATGCCTAATGCACGCATGTTGGGCCAGATGCAATCTTCATCTCCCAACCCTCTTTCTGCTCCAAGCCCTCAACATGGTCTTGCAGCAAGCGGTTTCTATGCCAGTGGGGTGCAAGGTCCTCCGCCGGGACTCAAGACCGCCGGTACCCCTCCGATCAGCGGTGGTGGAATGTTCGCCCAAGGACATGGCTTCACCTCTGGGCTTGGTGGTAATGGAGGAAAGCAAGACCCGACTCCCGAGCTAATGCGTGAGCTACTGCGTGGACGAACTGGTACGAATGTTGGTGGTTTACAGGGCCAGGAGGCTGCTAAGCGTGAGTTTATGTTCCCCTTTCTTCAACAGCACAATACCCCTCCCCCCATGACTCCTGCCAATGGCCTTCTCAGCTCCTTCTATGGGCCCCAGACGGGTGTAATGCCTGATTCTGGTGGCCCACAGAAGCAGAAGAAGAAGGGGAAGAAGCACAGAAACGCTAACACTTCCTCCGGTGGAGGTGGTGTAGTAGATCTTGCGGACCCGAGCATTTTGCAGGCGAGGATGCATCAAGTCGGTGCGAATGCTACTGCTGGGCAAGCGTTGTACGGGAGTCAGGGTCAAGGTGGGTACAACCCCTCGATGGTCTATGGTGGTGGTATCAGTCGGTGGTGAATCCCTGAATCCTTTAACCTCTCACTTGTTCCTGTGTTTTGATTTTCTGCATTTTCCTGCTTTCCCTCTATGACCTTGTTCCCTTGATGAGCCTGCTTTATCCTGATGACATGATATCAATTCCCTTTTTCCTTCCAAATGGAGGTTTTGCATTTGTGTTTGTTTTATTCGCGGTCAAACAAGCTCTGATTTATGCGATGACTGGACGTTCACCTGGCGTAGGGGCTTTCCTCTGCCTCGTTCAATGGCTATCTATTTTTTGCATGTTTTCTCTGGTTCCAGGTGTCTTTGCATTTTACGGACATAGGCATGTGTTCCGGGCTCCCTCTGTATTCGGCGGCTGTGTATTCCCTTTCTACTTGTTTTTTTCTTTGCATCCGGACTTCCATTATACGATCTGCGTCGTGAAGACCGCGGGTGTTTTATTATGGATTAATGTACGTTAAGATCTCCCTACCCTGATACCACAAGCCGAAAAGGGTCTTATTCGAAATCAGTTTCCTCACAGCCGCCGTTTACATAAACGCCCTGCAATGTTCCTGTTCCGGGAAGTGCCCATCATGTAATTATTTGTTTCTTTTTGTATCGCTTAGTCGTGCTTCTGCTTAGTCGTCGCCCTCCGAAGGGATTTTGATCCGATTGTTTACCACCACCCCTCATCGCCCACGCACACCACTTACTTTCCTGCACATTCGCTGACCCAATGCTCTAGTAAATGAAGACTTTCCTCCTCTTGGAGATCAATCCAAAGAGCGACGACCTGTCGACAGCTTTGGGTTTTTGAAGTCACAGTTACCTGGCGAGTCAGCCGCTCGTGCTGGGACTCCCACTCTGCCACCTGGACTGCCTTTACCCCATGCTCATCCATCGTCTTCTGTCTTCCAGGAACGCAGTTCTTCTAACCCCTCATCTCCTGCGCCAATTCTCCCACCTGGCTTGACGCCCAACATTTCGCGACTCAACAGCCCATCGCAGAGCCGTATTGACAGCCCCTCCCGTCTTTTGAGTCCTGAGCTCACAGTGGGCGGTCCTTTAACATCAAGCCGCGTAAAAGACGCTTCTCAAATATCATTTGGGTCTCCCGGGCAAAAATCAGCGACCAAGGCTCGTACCCAACGCAAGAACGAATTCAACATTGGATCCGATTTCAAGGATTCTCCCGCCAAAACTGCAAACCAGTCGCTGCCAGGTTCTGCTACTACGAAAGCGAGCCGACTGGATTTTGGTACCTCACTGCCCATATCCAACAAGACTGAGCAGGTACCAGCTCCTAGCTCGGTTTCCGCAATCGGGTCGCGTCCTGACACACCCCAAACAATCCCATCTCGCCCCTCTGACTCTCCTGCCCCTCGTCAGCCCCGTATTTTACGTGTGGTAGAAACCCCAAAGCCAGAAACTCCTCCCATTGTCACCGCACCCTCTGTGCCCGCTTCTGTTGTTGGAGGTACCAGGTCCCGCTCTAGGAGACAAAGTATGTCATCGATCAGCATCCCGGACACCCCGGCCGATATGGGATGGGAAGGCGATTACTATCCTTCCACCTCTGCTTCTCGTGCAAATTCCCCCCCTGCTTCTTCTCGTATCGGCTCAGCCCCCGTGCGCTCCATGACCAAGAGCCAGGTCAAGAAGGAACGCAAACAGAAGGCGAAGGAGGCCGAGGCTAAGAAGGTCGAAACTGTGCCTGTGAATGAGGAGCCTGTTCAAGCACCTATTATGGGGCGAAAGCGCAAGACCAAGAAGGCCCCCACAGCTACTGTTAGCACAGCAGATGCACCCGCCTCCAGTGCTCCTGAAAAGATGAGCCCTGTGAAACCAACAAACGTTTCTCCAGTCAAGGCCGAACCCAAGGTGGATACCACAAAGAAAGTGAAAAGCAAAGAGACCAAGCCTGTCAGAGAGCCGACTCCTCCTCCTCCCCCTGTCGAAGAGCCGCCTGTTAAGAAGGAACCTCCTGTTGAGCCATGGCGCTCAAACAATACAATTGGACAGTTGGTCAAGGATTCTGAGGCTCTTGGAAGGTCAATCAAAGATCTTTTTGTCGAACGAACAAAGCCTCTTCACGAGCTGCTCGCTGAGATGCACAAGTCCGGCGAACTGGACCTCAACAAAAGTTCCCTCTTCAATCCCAGCAATCTCAGCCAGCGCACTGACATGAAGTGCACTGCAGAGGACTACGATTATCTCCAATGTCCCAATGAATTGACCGAGGAGGATCGGAAAACCCTGCTTCGTGGAGAGCCCGTTCGAATCGGCGACGATTTCCTCAAGACTCGATGCCTCATCACGCCCCGCGGCTGTGTCTTGCGCCACCTCGAGCCAGAAGAGGAAGAGCGGTACCTAGAGCTGGAGAAGACCATGGCCAATACCTCGGATCCTTTCATGATTGGAGACGACGCGAGCAATCCTAGTGGAGGTCTAGAAGCCCTTTTCGCCAATCCGGAAAAGTTCAACATCTGCTGGGTCGACGACATGCCCACTCGCCTGGGCGCCACCTCCCCTTCCTCTTCTCTCGAGGCGGCGGAATCCGTGATCCCGCCCAATGTCCTCTCGGCCATGGAGGCAGATAGCACCCGCAATCATGACTGGGCCGTCGCCAACTCGGCAGAATTTCTTAACACCACCCCTGCCGCCGTGCGCTCCTTCGCTGCAGTCACCGCGCAGCACATGCTGGGCAATCCGGGCATGGTCGGTACCAACCCAACCCTCGATGACGTTGCCAGCTTGACCAACGAGGAACTGAAGGATCTTTCTGGTCGTTCTCAGAAAGACCTCGAACTCACCCGGAAAGAAATGGACTCTCTGGACAAAAAGTTTGCAGCTCTGCTTCGACGCAACAAGAAGCTTCAGCAGCAGGCATTGAACTTTGCTACTGGATCGGAGGTGTAATCAATCATTGAATCTTATCTCAAATCGGCGCTCTCGGTCTCCTTCGCAATCTCGCGCAGACAGATTCTTGACTTGAAATTTCTTTGCATGTACATATGGATTTGCATGATACCCCGGATGGTGGTATTTCACCGCTTTCCCAGTCCACTCTGTATGATTATCTATTTTAGCCTCAATGAATCACTGTATAACATTTATATTTGTCTACGCAGGTCCTAATATAATTTCCCACACTCGCATAAGCCTGCAGTATTCGGAGTCAACATATGCACCTTCTAGGCCTATCCTCAATGATGTACTTGGCACACAATGAGCAAATAAATGTTGATTTTTAACAGACCCCTCGACGCAAAGTGAATATGAGAATATTCCCGAAACTTACTCTCATGAGTCTGGGATGTGATATATATCGCACCCCGACCTGCCCGCCTCACACTTACACCCGAAAATTCAAGACGAGGGACCTGGCATATTCCCTAAATTGCAGCAATTGCACAAGAGAAATATATCTAAATTTCGATTTTCATCAACTAACTAGACCCAAGACACTAATATACACCCGTCAACAAGGGAATGCGCCAAGGGGGGGGATCAATCACCGATTCCGCCAGGGCTGGATCGCTTGACTTCTACATTCCTCTACTCTGTACTCCGTCCATTTTAATCAAGACCAGACATTTAATGAAGGCTCATTCCTCCGATGGGATCCGACATTAGTTCATTCTCCACGGGGTTTCCCTAAGTAATATTCCACGATGTCTGTCTACTTGGCTATTCAGGGTGAGTGATCCCTTTCCCCCTCTTGAAACATGTGGCTGATTCATGTGGTGAGTCTCTTTCTACTTTCAACCTAGATACAATAGGGATTGAGGCTGATCTATCCCTTTCCTCCCATAGGACATCATTTCCCCGGCCTCGGCTGGCATGCAGGTATAAAGTACTCGCTCAGTACTCCGTATACTATTTCCCGTCAGTCTAGTCGGTCTTTCCTTTCCTTGCACTCATTTCAATAGAATTGACCCCCTTGGGTGCTACGTACATTCGTTTATTTGTTCACGTTCAGCACAGCATATGCAATGTTTCAATTACTTTCCATCATAGCTACCGTGTTCACCCTAGCCTCAACCGTCGTATCAACCGGCCTACTAGTACCACTATACACCTGGCCCGGCACAGATGCATGGAATACAATCTACAACACAATCGCAGCCCACCCATCAGTCCCATTCTACCTAATCATCAACCCATCTACCGGTCCCGGTACCACAGAATACCCAGAAGAAGTCTTCATCGCCGCCATCGCAAAGCTAAACAGCTATTCAAACACCGAAGTACTGGGCTACACATACACAAAACAAGGCACGCGCGCCAGTTCTGAAGTCGAAAAGGATATCGCTGTCTACGCCAAATGGGCCAACTACGCAGGACAGAATATCCGTCTCTCCGGCATTTTCTTTGACGAGGCATCTGACGGCGAAGACCCGAGCAAGCTCGCCTATTTCCAGAATCTGTCGAGGAAATCCAAGAGCAGTAGCTTAAACACTGTGATCCTCAATCCTGGCGTCAAACTGAAGGCAGATGTTGCCAACTGGTTCGAGGCGGCGGACTTTATTGTTGAGTACGAGGACACTTATGCTAATTGGGTGGCTCGGGCTCCTGATGAGCACTTTTCGACGTCTGAGCATTATGGGAAGGATGTTGTTATTTTGAATCAGACGCCTGAGGATGCGAGCTTTGATGATGTTGTCCGGTTGGCGAAGGATATGGGGCTCGGTGCCATTTATATGGCTTCGGATGATAACTATATGAGCCTTGCCACTGTGCCCAAGGTTGCTGTTGCTGTTGCGCAAAGTCGGAAGGCTAAGCGCAGAGGGCGCGGTCGATATTAGGGACGAGTACATATATGCTATGCTCAGAGTGCTGTTCTTAGAGATTGTAGATTTCGTTCTTGGAATATGTAAAAACTGTGGGCGCCAAAAATCAATGCAGAGGCAGTATTAATAAGCATCACGATAAAACATCCTCCTGGACATCTCTGGAATCTATATGAATATAGCTCTCGTATTATAACGCTCTAACGCCCCGAGGGTCGCATGTATATTTTGTAGAGACAAGACCCTCTCAATCCAAACCCTTAATGCCATCTTTATACGGCCGCAGATCATACTCATCCGGATAAGTTTCCAAAATCCGCTTAAGCTCCGCCATCTGCTCCCTCTGCTCCTCGGTAATCTCCTCATAAACATCCGCAAAAGCCTCTCTAAGAGAAGGCTTACTCTCCCGCTCCGCCTCACCAAACTCCTTCAACACAGCCTTCCGCATCTGATCCCGTGTCTCCTTCTCCTGCTCCTCACTCCAAATCCCCTGATTCTCAAGCCACTTCCGCAGCCGAATAATAGGATTATCACGACGTTTCCAATCCTCAACCTCGACGCGCGCGCGGTACGCAAAGCTGTCGTCACTGGTACTGTGGTGCGAGACACGGTAGCTCATGGCTTCGATTAGCACAGGTCGTCCGCCCTCACTTAGGGCAAGTCGACGCGCTTCTTTCATTGCTTCGTTTACGGCGAAGATGTCGTTGCCGTCAACGCGGATCGTGTCGATACCGTACCCCACGCCGCGACTGGCGATTCCATCGCCTCGGTACTGTTCTAGTGTCGGTGTTGAGATTGCATAGCCATTGTTTCGGCAAATGAAGACGACTGGGCAGGAGCGTGTTGCGGCAATGTTTAGCGCAGCATGGAAATCGCCTTCGCTGGCGGCTCCTTCGCCGAAGTAGCAGGCCACAATGCGTGGGTCCCGGTTTGGGTTTTGGAGGTCTTGGAGTTTCAGGGCATAGGCTGCGCCAGCGGCTTGGGGGATTTGTGTGGCTAATGGAGATGAGATTGTGTGCTGTTGGCTGTGTTAGATTCGGAACGTATTTTGCTGTAGTCAAGGGTGGTACTGACGATGCGGGGATAGTTTTGACCGTAGTGGACGGGCATATTTCGACCACGGCCTGTATCATTACAATTGGCGAAGAGCTGGCTCATGAAGTTCTTCAGTGTGAATCCGCGTTGCTGGAATACACCGGCTTCGCGGTATTGTGCAAAGACTACATCGTCTGGTGTCAATGCTGCGGCGGAACCAACTGTGATGCCTTCTTCGCCAGCAGAAACCTATAGGTAGCCGGTTAGATATGTCGTGTTCCTCCTATCACTCTTTCTTGATGAATTGGACATACCATGTAGAAACTTAAGCGACCCTGCCGTTGTGCCTCGAACATGACCACGTCCATAACGCTTACTACAGCCAAAAGTCAGATACTTGATATTGTATCAAGCGTGGGGTAACTAACCAGACAACATATTCTTGTACCACGTCAAGGCCTCATCATTTGTAACATTGGGTGCTGGTCTCGTCTTATCAATCTGGAAACCATTTGAGTCCATCACTCGGTAGGTAGGGATAGCGGGCAGATCTGAGGCTTTGAGGAAGGCCATCTCTGAGGTGAACTTGCTGTTCACCGCACCGGGAAATCGAACACTAAACACATTATCATCTCGTCAGCATTCATTGAAAACAAAGACAATATTGTCTTTGAAGCGATCTCTCACCTGTCTGAACCCGGTGGCTGCGAGATGGAGCTACTCCACCTCCGTGCGGGGATAACGCGCGCTGTGGTGAGGGATTGGCGACAAAGGCCATTCTGAGTCAGAAGCTTTAGAGACATTTTGGTGTCTCTTGCTATTAACATTGTAGGTTCAACTTGTTTCAATGGAAGGGAGTCTTTGTGTTAAATCTGGGGATTGCGGAGGGCGGTTGGCGTCGGCATTTCTCCCTTCACGTTACTCTCCGCGGCCAACCGAATATCCGATGCGGGGAAGAGAATCCTTTCTGAACATCTTTTGTCTTTCTGTCTTCATCACATCTCTTGCGGTGTAATTCAATTCGATGTAATTCAAATCCCCGACACCTTCATTTCATTGCGCATACGGAGAGAGACATACTGAGAAAACTCATTGCGACTCTATCGGAAGATGTATCGTAAATCACAAAGTTGATTCCGAATCCAATTATCCTGGACTCTACCTCTTGGATTTTGTGGTAGAACTGGAGTTCAAGACCTTGTCGAGGACTATACGCCCTACAGCATCGGCCATGGTTAGAACAAGTGAGAAGATGGAGATGAAGTTGATGGAAAGTGAAGTTACATCAAGGGCAGTATAAATACTATGATTATTTTTGTTAATCTGTTAAAATGGGTTTATCTCACAGAAGGCTCATAGCTAAAAAGCCGAGAAAGTGTTCCTGGAGATATCGTCATCGGGATATGATGACATTGCCCTCCCCACTATTTGATGACATCGTTGAAAATCGCATTTCTTGATTTAACGTCTTAGAGTTGAGTTTCTGTCTTCAATTCTCTACACAATCATGTTTGAAGACCATCAAATCAGTGAGGTATTACATACCGACATCAGAACTCCCATCCCCCCGGCACTCGTAGCCAAGATCACATCTCTACCGCCATTCATCCCCATACAAGGTGTCTCCAACTTTCGCGACCTGAGCCACGATGGCAACAAGTTACGCAAAGGATTCGTGTATCGGTCGGGAAGCTTGTCGGCCATCTGGGGAGCCGGGAAATCCATCATCGCAACCGAATTAGGAGTCACCACGATCTTCGACCTCCGGAATGAAAACGAGCGACAAAAAGCCCCTTCACCTTCTATCGCCGGAGTCGAAACGATATGGTGTCCATACGGAGCCCGACCGGCCACTTTGAATCTGCGAGATTTTGCGGGCGAAGACAATGGCGGGACGGGATTTGTGAAGATGTACAACGGGATCCTGGAAGCGGCGGCACCATGTTTCACCAAGATATTCAAGCATATCGCAGATAACCCCAATGACCCGTTCATCGTCCATTGTTCAGGTATGTTCCACGTGTATTACCTTGGTTGATCTTTGGTTGCATACAAATCCCCCCCCATAATTGACGAATGCTAACCATACATTCCCACAGCTGGTAAAGATCGCACAGGTGTCTTGGCCGCACTCATCCTCCTCCTGATCAATCGACCCCATGACGATATTATCAACGATTACATCCTCAGTCGCGTCGGATTGGAACCCGCCCGGGAGAACCTCATGGAGGCATTCGCAGTAAATTTGGGAGCTGATGGACTTGATATCAGCCAGTTGAGCCCTGAGGCACTGGGTATGCTTGAACTATGTGGTGTTCGAGCCTCGTCCATGGAGGCTTTCCTAATATCATTTGAGAATACCTATAAAAATGGCGTTGAGGGATATCTCATTGATAAACTTGGGTTCTCGCAGAGTGATTTATCGACAATGCGCCGGAACTTGACCTAGCGGATCAACCGCAGAAATCTGTACAGATATACACAAGCATGTATAGAATATATATGATTTGTATTGGCTATGTTTTAAATTGGACGAAATCCAAGAGGGGATGTTATGTCTTCATTGTACTTGGAATCTAGGGGGCTCATTCAATTGATCGTCCTGGATACTATGTATTGGTGTATATCTCTTCAATAACAGAGTATATAAACCCGAACGAGGTCATCATATCCGCGCTAATAATTTAAGCCTTAAGCCTCCCGTCTCAACTTTGCTATAACTCCACCAATACTGTTCATCATACGCCGAGTTAAGACTCGGAATTAACAACTTTATCCCCCCGGGATTATCATACATTAGTGCTGCTACCGTTGCTTTCTTCCCCACGCGAGGGGGTGTTGAGATACCCACTTCAAGAGCCCAGACGATGCAGGCTGTGTCGCACTCAGAATGAACATAAGTAGCATGGTGCTTTGATGTGTCCCAGCAGATTACTAAACTAGAGGTACTTAATACAGCCCCTCGGTCTTGCAGAAACATTTCGGCATATTTATCCTTTTGACGCTATGCATCTTTGGAGTCAGCTTGTCCTGGTGGTGTTTTCATCAGTGCTGCCGACTCTTGGACAGAATGTTTTGGATCTGAGTGGTGATGGGTGGACTGTTAGAAGCAAGGCGCTGAACATTAGTGTCCCCGGCAATGTTCCCTCACAGGTGCATTTGGATCTTCTTGATGCGAATGTGATCGGTGAGTCTCTCCCAGTCCCAAAGCTGACGTATCTAACCGAAACAGATGAACCGTTAGTTCGACACTAATTTCTCTAGTAATTACTCTATACTAACCGACTTACGTCCAAGCTATCATGGTTTGAATGACTTCAATTTGCGTTGGGTCGCAGAGAACAATTGGACTTATACAAGTAAACCAATCGACGGCTTGTTTGTGCTCTTCGCTGTGTCTATTAGGATTCCCACTGACTCTTCGCAGGTTAAGCACTTTTAAATCCTCCTGGCTTGTGTTTAATGGACTTGACACCTTCACAACAATTGAGCTCTGCGGTCAATTTATAGGAACCACAAATAATCAGTTCCGGCAGTATACCTTTGACATTTCCAATGCGCTGAAACATTGCAACGGCTCTCCAACCGTTTCTCTCGAGTTTGGAAGTGCCACCAAGATCGCAAATGCAATTGCCGTTGATCCAAACTCACAAAGTAGGTGTCCAAAAAAGTGAAGACACTATATCTGACAATATCTCCAGAATGGCCTGGCGGTGTCCAAGGGATCTTTGAATTCCCCAACCGGTGGTATATCCGAAAAGAACAATCCGACTTTGGCTGGGACTGGGGCCCAGCGTTCTCGCCTGCTGGCCCATGGCAGAATATCTACCTGGTTCAGTCCGAAGACGAAAAAGATATACATATTCTAAACACATGCTTTGACATATATCGAAAGGGCCAGATCAACCACCTTGCTCCCGATGAGAGTCAGCCCTGGGTTGTCAATGCAAGTATTGACTATCTCGGCTCTCTACCCAGACGCCCATCTATGTCTATCAAGATCAAGGACGTTGAGTCGGGCAAAGTATTGAAGTCCGGATCGCTCGATAATGTCATTGTATCTGGACAAATCATCACCGGTACCACTATAGTTGATGCAGACACGCCTAGCCTCTGGTGGCCCGCAGGCATGGGCAAGCAATGCCTGTACAACGTCACAGTAACTATCCAGAACGCAGATGATGATCTAGCCAGCGTAACCCGACGCACTGGTTTTCGCACTATTTTCCTCAACCGATCCAATATCACCGACACGCAGCTGGCTCAGGGTATCGCACCTGGCGCGAATTGGCACTTCGAGGTAAACGGTCGTGAATTCTACGCCAAAGGCTCGAACCTCATTCCACCAGACGCCTTCTGGCCGCGAGTCACTGTGGCCAAGATGCAGCGACACCTCGATGCAGCTGTCGCTGGAAATCAAAATATGCTTCGAGTGTGGGCTTCGAGCGCATACCTCCCAGACTTTATCTATGATCTCGCCGACGAACGCGGAGTGTTGTTGTGGAGCGAGTTCCAATTCAGCGATGCTCTGTATCCAACGGACCAGCCGTTCCTTGACAATGTTGCTGCCGAGGTGATCTACAATGTGAGACGCGTCAATCATCATCCATCCTTGGCTTTGTGGGCTGGTGGAAACGAGATTGAAAGCTTGGAACTACCAAGCGCCAAACAACACGATCCTGCATCATACCCCCGCTTAGTTGGCGATTACGAACATCTCTTCATCTCTCTGATTCTCTCTCTGGTATACGAGAACTCGCGATCGATTTCATACATGCCCAGTAGCACAAACAACGGCTTCCTGGAAGTTAATCTATCTGCTCCAGTTCCCATGACCGAGCGCTACGATAACGGCACGGAGGAAAAAGGCCATTACTACGGTGATACAGACTACTACAACTACGACAGCAGAGTAGCATTTGATTTCACCGGTTACCCAGTCGGCCGCTTCGCCAACGAATTCGGATACCATAGTATGCCGAGTCTACAAACATGGCAGCAAGCCGTGGACGACGAAGACCTCCACTTCAACAGCAGTACCATCATGCTCCGAAACCACCACTACCCAGCTGGCAGCCCTGACACGAACAATTACACGAGATCAGCGTTAGGAATGGCCGAAATGACCCTAGCAGTGGAGCGATACTACCCGATTCCCAACAAGCAAGACTCCGTCGCCAACTTCAGCGCCTGGTGTCACGCAACACAGCTTTTCCAGGCGGACATGTATAAATCTGAAATCCAATTCTATCGTCGCGGAAGTGGAATGCCGGAACGTCAGCTTGGAGCGCTGTACTGGCAACTCGAAGATATATGGCAGGCTCCGACGTGGGCTGGGATTGAGTATGATGGGCGCTGGAAGGTTCTTCACTACGTCGCTCGTGATATTTTCCAACCTGTTATTGTATCGCCGTTCTGGAACTATGCTACTGGTGATTTGGCTGTTTATGTGACGTCGGATCTCTGGGAGATGGCTCGGGGAACTGTGAAGTTTACCTGGATAGATTTGTCTGGTAAGCCGATATTAGGGAATGCGGGTACTCCCTTGACGAAAGAGTTCTCTGTTGGGGCACTTAATACTACCAGGATCTACGAAACCAACCAGGCGCAGCTCACTCTGTCTGATACAAAAGATGCCGTGCTGGTCATTGATCTCACTGCTCGGGGCCGTCTACCGAATGCAGAGAGCAAGACTGCGACTACATTCACTCACCGGAACCAGTTTACGCCTGCCTTTCCTAAAGATTTGGCACTGAAAAATCCGGAACTCAAGCTATCTCATAATTCCTTGGCTGGCACGTTCACCGTCGAAGCTCAGAGTGTTGTCTCGTTGTATACATGGCTTGACTACCCCGCTGGTGTGGTGGGATACTTTGAGGATAACTCGTTCTCTTTACTTCCAGGCGAGGAACGGACTCTTCGCTTTGTTGTACAGAGCGATGAGACTGGGGGGAAGTGGGTTGATGGTGTTACCGTTCGCAGTCTGTGGGATCAGACTACGGAAATTTGATGGGTTTATACATTGCATGTAGTTCATTCTACGACAAATCAATATTCGCATTTCATATACAACACCTGCATTATGTCTACCTATTCGACTTATACTATCAAATTCGTCTCCATTTATTTACCATTGTAAATAGCCGTGGCATCAGTAAGGAACTTGTCAAAGGCCTTATCACCGGTGATCGGGACAATCGACTTAGGAAGATCCTCGCCCGAGCCATTACGGTCATCAACAGTCTTAGCCTTGGTCTTCTCCACCCACTCATTGGCCAATTTGAATTCCGCATCTGCCTTACTCTGATCCTTGGCATCGAGAGCCTCGAGCATATAAATCAAGTGCTGGCAGGCGGTCGCCCACTGGTTAGCAAGAGTCGACCAGGGTGCCACGTCAGTAGCGAAGCCCTTAGTAGCCATTTTGGGGAGGACTTCGGGAATGGTGATGATAAGTGAAAGGCGATCCTTCAAGGCCTTAGTTCCGTCGCTGGTGCCGGCTTTGCGTGCGGCCCAGAAAGCAGCAATGTCCTTGTTAAGCTGGGGCGCATCGGTCACAGGGTCTTGGTATGGCCAGTTCTGGTTGAGGTCGGTGAACGCGATGAGTGCGTTGTGAACGGTGGTATCACTACCAGACAGCTCCCAGAGGCTTGCATCCATGGACTTGGTGGCATCATACTTGGGCCCGTTCCATGTATAGTCGGCATAGTTAGCGAGCGAGGCCATAGAGGCGAAGGCTTGGTTCATCGGGTTCGAGGTGAATCCAAGCAGGTGCTTGTATAGTTCGGCGGCACGCTTGGTGAGAGGGTTGAAGAATAGGCGGTCACGGTTGCCGTCGTTGACAGGGAAGTTATCCCATATGAACAGTTTGTCGGTGACGTAGCTCTCGTCGGCTTTCATGACGCTGTCGACTGTGATCTCATTGCTGAAGACTCCTTCGCCGGTCCACTGGACGCGGATCTTCTTGTTTAGCTTGGTGCCGAATTCTGTCTTGTACGGGGATGCTGCGCTGCCGGCGTAGTTGGTCGGGACGGTCTCGAGGTTTTCGAGATTGTTAGGCTCGATGTACTCGGTCTGAACGCGGTTCAGATAGAAAGTTTGGGCATCGGCGACCCATTCATCATTCTCGGTCTTGGGCCACTTCGCCTTATCCGCATCGCAATGGAACTCGAGACCGATGTCATCCAGAGCAATGTAGAAGTTTCTGACCCCAAAGTCACGCAGCTGGTCAAGCTTGGCGACAGTGGCTTGGAAGTCCTCGTCGGACGAATAGCATACGTCCAAGCCGGGCGAAAGAGCATAGGTGAAATCGACATGGTTGGTATTAGCAGTCGTAACAAGCTCCTTGAGCTGGGTGAGCTCATCACCACTGTAAAGAGTGCGCCACTTGGCGCGGAGAAGTGGGTCATCCTTAGGAGTGTACACATAAGTGTTCATCTTGTGCTTTCCGTAGTAGGCGAACTGTTCGAGGCGTGCCTCGTGAGACCAGGGGACACCGTAGAAACCCTCGATCGAGCCACGGATAGACATAAGCGGCCAGTCATGCATCTTGACACCGGGAATGCTATCACTGTCGAGAAGTTGGCGAAGAGTCTGTGACGCGTAGAACGTGCCGCGTGTATCTACACCGTTGAGGACAATGGTTGGCAGTTCCTCATATCTGCCACATGCAAAAGCGTAGCCGTCGGCGTCGAGGCCATCCGCAGACGTGTCTGCCAGCGCCTTTGCGACAGCGACAGCGAGGCTAGATTCCCCCTCGGTGCCAACGAAAATCTGCGTTCCTTTGCCGCTGGGCTTGGAGGCGATAACCGCATTACCGCCGGCGGCAGCCACAACCTTCTTGATCGTGTCGATCGTGGCTGAGTCCGTGAAATTATCGGTCACGACGGTGACATCACCCGCGAGTGAGACCTTTCCGCCGGTGAACACGATCTGTTGAGGAATCGGCGACACCTCAGGGCCTGCATCGGCACGGCCAGCGAGGTCGGCAACGGGTGCAGCATTGACCGACCCGAGCGCAAGGGCGACAAGAAAAGCCCGAAGGCAGGTGATGCGGTGTAGATTGAACATTGTGTGAAGAACTTACATGTCGGAGGGTGTGGTTTATATAGGGCAGGTGGGGTTTACAAGTCGATGACCTTCCAGGACTGGAAGTGACGGGTGCCATCGGTTACATCATGCGATAGCTAGTTGCAATATCCCTAGAAGGGGTGCTGTCGGGGTTTGATTAATTCCTTAGGTCGTATGCAGCTCCGTCGTAAACAGCAGTTTAGAAACATGGACTTACCCCGAACAGGGTATTCCGGGTAGCCCAGACGATAAGATCTACAGGGGATAGTTTGTTCAGGTAGTAATGCTCCCAGACGGTGGTGTTCTCAGGTAGTAGTGCTTTGCGATAACAGAGAGTGCAGAGCGAGAGGGTGATCACTTCGAACTGCCAGGGGGTCAGTTTGGCATCGGATGGTCTTGGCAGTTCGCCAACCCCCCGCTCGTAAGTTGACGCAGCTATAATATAAAATAGATTATGGCGAGGTAAGGTGGATGCAGTCCGTTTGGTATTCTCCGGTGTTGCGCGTATTGATTGGCTGAACAATCCACTTAGTGAGTGCGACATTGTAGATCTTCAGCCACATTTACGGAACAATTTCGATATCGCGGCCAAATCTCAAGCCTTTTAAAAGCCCAAAGCTTCTCTGGGCTGTAACGTTACACTACTTGGACTGCGGGGTAAGATGAAGGATGAAGAATTGAAATCCGTTAGAGATGTATCTTACAGCATCTACGTGGCATAAGCCATCGAATCAACATTGAAAGTCTTTAGGCTTTACACACGAACAATAGCTTATCCTACCTCTACCCTTCACGACGTAACACCTCAATCTAATCTATTTAGCCCATAATAGACACATTATAACTAGCGTTTTAGTGTCATGGCTAGAAGGAAAATAACCAGCTGTGGAGCAATCGCCGTGCAATTGTCATATCATCTCATCTTTTCGGTTAAACGGACGTATCATATTCCTTCCGTAGCTGGCCTTTTTATTGCGATATACCCTTGTTTCGATTCGTGGGGGCTAAATTAGAACCGAAACATTTCAACTCGGTACCTATATATTTTAGAAACATGGCTACTATATGAGCCTATTCAATTTTCACTTAAAGAATGCGTTATTAGTCCTTTTCTTTGTCCAATAGGTTCACGTTGTTGATGTATATATATAAATGTATGTATAGCTCTTGTTAATAAAGCTTATTGTCTCTCTTTTAGGTATTAGTATGATTTTCTTCTACAACATAATAATTCGGAGCTATCCACCTACGTATTCACGCTAATATTCTCTAGAAGAGGAACTAAAAGATCGTCTTCACAAGGCCATCAATCCCCAAGCCCAGGGAAAAGCTTCGCCTACAGTCTCGATCCGAATAGGCAAAGGATATACCATGAAACCTATCCCCACAGCACTATCCAGTAAATGTAAGGAATCAAAAGGCCCACTGCAGGTACGGACGATCATATAGATCCTGTCAAAGCTCGGTCCGAGCCCCTACCGATGTATATAGTCTGATATACGTGCCCTAACAAATCCAGATCCAAAGAGCTCCACATTTTCTGCCCAAGACCCCAACAAAACTGCTGCTGACCAAACAATTATCGATGAGATGACTGATCATATGGCCCACGGAAAGTTAAAGGGGATGGCAAAAACATTTCATAGAACCTGTCCAGGTGACTGGGATGGTGGTAAGGAGGATGGCTTTGGGGGTACGCTTCGTGGATTCTACAAGCGTGACGAGTTTCAAGAAAAAGCCCCGATATTAGAATCAGCGATACGCTTTCGGTGGGAGGCCGCCCTTCTAGCAGACTTCGAATTGTTTGAACTCCCGGTTCCAAGCAGGGAGATTTGTATCATGTGGAACCAAATTTGGTGGACTGAACGTAACAGGAAGGCAATGCCCGATCTCGAGGCACGTTGGAGAAAGATGTACAACTCCATTTCCAGTCATTTTATGACTTCTTGTTTCAGTAAACGGGACTCACCTTTTTACCGGCCACTTCATTACTTGGTCGCGGCGTTTATAGAAGCAGACAAACCGGACAATGAGGCGACCGCCGTTATTTCTACCATCGGAGAGTTCATGATCACGGTTAGGACATTCCACCAACAATGTCTGTGTAAGGATCAGGAAGTTCGTGGCAGAGGCCGCGCCTGGTTAAGAACCATCGGCCGATGGCCTCGCGAGTCGCTTTCTCCACGCGAAAGGATAAGCCACAGATCCTTTCCCTCTCGCTGATGAATTGCTCGTGCAACGTTTTAAGCACTCCTTCTGCTTTGAAGATGGGAAGGAACAGTGTTGTGAGATTTATTTGTGTCTTAGCAAAAGGAGAGGGTATATGAAGAGATGAGCGTGGCCTGGCTCTGAGGGAATCCTTCACTTCATATTACTTGTCTCCTGTCTCTCCCGCTCTTCCCACCCTTCCTCCCCATCCATTCATATCTTTATCCCTCTAACCCGGTCGACTGTTATTCATTCATCACTTCCTCTCCATCCTGCCATTAAAGAATGACTCGTGTCTTCCTCGCTGTTAGAATCAAGGTGCTTCCTTGAGACTAATCGCAAGATAGCTCTAGATTAATAGAACAATTGCTATCGGTATAGATCGGGGTCGACTTCATTAACAAACTATATAATTCAGGGATCAATACCAAGCTCGAGAAGCAGCTACATCAACCAGATAGCTTCTGGGGTATCGAGAGCCTCCGTAATGTATCCGCTTTCTATAGTTAATAAACTAATGTAGCGCACCAACATAGAAGTGTGAATTCTAATGCCGACGGATGACACCAAACGGCCGTACATTTGTACCTGTTGTCCCAGAGATATTCAGTGAGTCATACAGTTTATAAGAAGTACCGCGAGTGCGACGAGACCGACAAATTCGGTCCTAGTGACTATTTCCGTTAGCACCTAATGCACATCCATTCTAGTACGAATGACCCGTGGACAAAAATATCTCCAGAAAATACTTGTAGTAAAAGGAACTAGCAAAATCTGACCGGAATCTGGTCCACTTCCAGCGGAGGAGACCCGTCTGACCAGACACACTTGATGGCTGTCCACGAGGCGCAGCTAGTCTCTAGCGCGATCAGAAGGAATTTCCCAGGTAGAAATTGATGAAATCAATTGAATTGGATGATACCTAGTGATGAGCAATAAGAAATGTTCCATGAGCCCCAAGGAATTGCCTCTGATCTGGTAGAAAGGTTGTGATTAGTAATTTATTGATGCAAGGGACGAAGAAGACTGATGAAATGCATGTTGATTGTGTGAAATGAAAAGGGAGAAATGAAAAGTGAAGTCCGAGAATCCTAAACAATAAGCCCACTTGCTCCCTTGTGTGACCCTCTGATCACTTATTGGCTAATGAGCAAAACATCCATTGGGAATTCGAAATGATAGATGGCTACACAGATTATTCACCAAAGGCCAGGGGCGGATCCCATAACGAAGAACCCTCAAAATTCCCTCTTCCTTTGCTGGAGAAACATCTTTATCACCCATGGCCTATACCACACTATGGAAACGACTTTCGTCGCGTCAGCTGAATGCTGCTATTCACATATTTTCGCTGATATCGATCTTCTTCGAGGGATATGACCAGGGTGTGATGGGTGGCGTTAACAGCTCACCGAAATATGTGACAAAGGTTGGCATCGGTAAACCTGATGGGACAGTGACCAACACCACTCACCAGGGTGGCATTGTCAGCATCTATTACCTGGGGGCGATATTCGGTTGTTTTGCCGGCGGGTGGCTTGCAGATCGAGTTGGTCGGATCAACGGCCTACTCGCTGGATCATTATTTGCATTGGTTGGGGGCGCCCTGCAGGCGGGTGCACAGGATTCGAACTGCATGCTGTGTGCCAGAGTGGTCACGGGGATTGGGACCGGAGGTAGGAATCCTTGCTATTCTTTGCCTTTGGGGGTCTGGAAGGAGCTATTAATCTAATTCGCTATCACACAGCCTTGACTGGCATTACCCCAGTGTTAGTGTCGGAAACCTCTTCCGCGGACCGTCGAGGTGGCTTCCTGGGATATGTTTTCATTGCCAATTGTGAGTCGTCAATTCGCGATATCCAATTGTGGGGACCATTTCTGACATGTACTGTTTTTAAGATCTAGGAATCTCCGTCGCATACTGGATCTCCTTCGGCCTCGCTTTCGTCGATAACGGTTACTCGGACGTACGATGGCGCTTCCTTCTTGCATTCCAGTGTTTCCCTGCACTTATCCTAGTTGTCTTCATCAAAATGTTACCGGATAGCCCCCGCTATCTGGCCTCTGTGGGGCGGAATGATGAAGCTCGAGACCTTTTGAATCGTATTCGCGCAGACTGGGCCTCCCAAGACGATATCGACCAAGAATACCTTGAGATTGTAACCATCGCGAGAGGAAGCAAGTGCAGCTCTCCCATTGAGTTTGTGAAGATATTATTTGGAAAAGGTGGAAAGCCGGGGCTGAATCTGGGTCGACGAGCTTGGTTGTGTGTTTGGCTTCAAATTATGGCGTCCTGGACGGGTATTACGGTGAGTTATGGTGCTGTAACCAGTGGCTGAACAGTCATCGGGTGCTAATGGTGATTGTAGGCTGTTACTGCCTATTCTCCGACATTGCTTGCTCAGGCAGGTTATGGTGATATAAAACAAAATGGTCTTGCCGGGGGAATTAACACAACTGGAATCATAGGTACTATTATCAGTGCTCAAATTATTGACCGCTTAGGCCGACGGGTTTGTTTGATGGCCGGAGCAGCTGTTTTGTTTGCAGTTAATCTAATTGTGGGTTTTTATTTTGCGGGTCGAAGTATAGTCTACTGACAACTTCATAGGCCGGAGCTGTCTATGAAGGCTCGTTGTATCAGCCTGAAAAGGCAGCTCAATATGCACCTGGTGCTGTGGTTATGCTCTTTTTGTTCAACTTGGGGTAAGTCGGCATGAAATTGTGACACATTTTATATAACTAAATGGCATAGTTATGCTGCCACCTGGGGCACAGTTGCTTTCTTGGTCCCCACTGAGATCTTCCCTAGTGATCTGCGAGCCCAAGGAAATGGATTCGGGATTACAGGGTGGGCCATTGGAGTGGGTATGACCACATTAGTCAACCCTATCATGTTTGATGTCCTGGCTGTAGGTTGCTTTGACTTTTCAACATCAATGGAGATGCTGATAACCTACTAGAGCCGTACATACTTTTTGTTTGCTGCCCTTAACCTCATCTGGATCCCGATCGTCTATCTATGTATGTTTTTGATATTTTACCAATTCACCTCCTGTCCTGACAGCTAACGTGTTCATCTTCACAGTCTATCCGGAAACTAGCAACCGGTCTCTTGAGTCGATTGGCGCTCTTTTCTCGATTTCCAGTCCATTCTACTGGAAGATGGAACAGGCCTATAAGCTCCACGGCGATGTTCTCGCCGAACACGGAGTCAACAAGATTGAGACTCTCAGTGGTAGTAAGACTGAGCTGAGAACCGAGCTGACAATTACCCCTGCTGAACTTGCAACTGTATAAACCACCTGCTATTTACGGTATACCGTATAGAGCGTGTTGATCATATTACACCATCGACGCAGCACATGTATAAAACCATGTACTAAAAACCCGTGCACTTAATCAAAGGTTTTGTACCGCCTTTTCTGCTGTCTACCTATAAAACTGAGAAGGGGAGAAAATATCTTGAAGACATCTACGTATGTGAGACTACTAAAAGACTCTCAAAAAAAGTCTATTAACAAGACTACACAAGACTATGGACGATCGATGACCATGGCAAACATTATATGCCATTGAATATTTTCAAATTTATCACATTCAAATCAGATTCTACAACCTTGTATATAATATATATACTATCTTCAATGATCGTCGAAATCTCCCGTCAACTTGCAATGATACGTCGCTGACTCAGCTTCTGTGGCTTGCAACTCTAATGCCGACTTTTATCCTCGGACTCATATTCAATTGCGCATCGATGCCGGAGAAGATTGCCTGATAATTTTTTTGCGTGCCTTTATTTCATTCTCCATAACTTTACCCCAGGATTTCCCCAACGGCGACCCAGGTGGGTCTCTGTGCAGACCCCGAAACCCCGTTTTTTGACCGAGGCTCGGGGCCCACGAATTGGCTCCCGCTTCTTCGCTAAGACCACATTTCTCCGAGGAATGAGCTAATGAATTGAATGTCGCAAAAACCCCGAAAGCTCCAACGCGTCTCCAAAGCCTGTAAGATCCCCCATGTTCAATTTTATGCTCCACTTGCGCTTGGCAATTGTCTCCCTGATTGCACTAAGTTCCGAGCTCATGATGCATCCACAGGCGACTTCTGCAACAGACGCAGCATAAGGTGCGGCAGAAGTGAAGATCCGCTAGGCCGATGTCAGAATTGTGCCGATTTTGATGTCCCTTGCACCTTTGATCGCCCCGCAAAGCGCCGGGGCGTCAAGGCTGGCACCAGGGCTTCTATGCGAGAGACGCCATTGGCAAAAACGCCTGTCCCAGAAAACGTACTCCATATACCGCCTACTTCGCAAGCTGCAGGGATAACGCCACATCCTTGTGCGTCTAGGAGCTCATATTACCCCGAGTCGGCCCACCGCCCGCCACTGACTGGAGATCCATGGTCTACCTTCCACGCTGGCGGCGTTGCAACGGAAGGGTATGATGACGATGGCGCATTGCGAAACTCATGGAATGCATTTGCCATTGCCAGTGATCGTCAAATTCGAAATCTTGTGCAAGTATACTTCGAGATTGTGTATCCAATGTACGAATCGATCTTATTATTGTTGTCCTTTTCTATGGCTGATAAATTTCCAGCTTTCCGCTTTTCCACAAGCAATCTTTCATAGAGAGAGTTCATAACCAAGAACACCTCCGAAATCCGGGGTTATTTGCCTCGACAATGGCAGTTTGCGCATTGGTTTCTGGGCGAGCGCGAGACGGCGCGCTGTTCACTAATAGATGGCATCGCGATGAACTTGCCGAACCCCCATCCGAGGCATTTTATGCCGCGGCCAAGGATTCTATTCCCCGAGACCTTGCAGCGGCAAGAGGAATTAACTATATGCGTGCGTGCGCTATCCTCGCAATTGCCAGCATTCAAAATGGCCAGATCAAGAATATGCAAAAGTACTCCGGCATGTACCATACTCTCACCAGCATGGAGGGCCTTCATGATGAAAAGCTTTGGCCAAAAAACTTGAGTCCTATCGAAACCGAAGAACGGCGAAGACTAGTACGCAGTCCTTCATCTTATGGCTACGCTTTCCACTAACTCATAGGTATGAAGTTCTGGTCTATCTATACATTGGATATCTACTCCACCATTGTATGGGGAGGTGTGATTCGATATCGTGAAGCGCATTCTCTGGTGCGATATCCGAGTGAAATTGACGATGAGTTTATCACACCACATGGCTATGGATTGCCGCCCGTATCTCCACACTCGGGTGTCCTCAACCCAGACGATGTGACCGTCGTATCACGGCAGCCCGTAGCATGGCTTCGGGGATGGAACTTTACCACCGATCTATATCGAATGCTCGAACACGTCGTCGATAGCAATCGGCGTCGTTTCTCGTCAGCCAACGGAACCTCACAGGTGTGGTCTCTGTTCACCCCAACCTCCATGTCAGAACCAGCAGTCATGGAGAGAGTATTATCCATGTATGCCGCGCTGCCGTCACAATTTAAAGAAACCCCGCCCACTACAGGCGACATGGCCAAGGATCTGTTCGGGTTCCAGTCTGCCAATATCCAGGCAACATTGCAGCTCCTCCGGATGGTGCTCTTGTCAGCGGAAGAGCTTGGCGTAGACCGCAAATGTGACGTGGCTGGAGAACTTCTCAGTGTCTTCAGTAAAGTTCCCGTGGAATATCTAAATGCCATCAGCTCCCCTCTGGTATGTCCATTTCACTGCTGCTCCGACCCCATTTCACTAACCCCTCGCAGCTGCATCACCTGGGCGGAATCGGCTATATCCTCGGCTCTGTAATGGAAGGAAGTTTATCAGAAGCATCCTACCAACGCGTCCGCACGTTACTGTAGGTCTTTTTACCCATCCCACGCCAACCATCAAAACAATTAACTTTCCCCCAGACTCGAAATGGCCGACCTTCTCGGCCGTCTCGAGACAGGTCTCCAGCGCGCTGCCGGCGCCAGCCAACGACTCCGGTCGCAGGTAGACAGAATTGACGGCTACATGCGCACCTCCCGACTACTCAATCTCACAGCGCCACACCTGCGCCCTCAACATACCACAATTCCCCTCGATGCTAAACGCGAAGTCCCGATCTCAAGCACAACATATATTCCTCGCAGTAGCCCAGTCCCGGCAGTGGGTCCACCGACCGTAATGCGCGAGCAGATGATGCAGTTCCAGCTGCCGCCGGAGTTGTTGTCAGATTGGCCGTGGCCATTGGATGGGGCCCATACGGAGGGTTTCCTTCCGCTGGCATTTGAATGATTCCCTCGGTGGTTGCTGAGTGAATTATGGGAGTTGGAGGTCGCGTGTTTATGTTTTCATAGAGTAGAGTAATTGTATTCAATCATCTGTTTATATTTATATCTCTGGCGCTAATTGAGCTGAACTTACGAATCGTGGTGTTTACTGATCTTCGTTCTACGTATATTTGTGCAATTCATGTGTTCCATACGTTCGTTTTTAGATCTATCAGACTTGGGCTAGGGCAGAGGTCATCTAGTTTTAAATATTACGGCTGTTAGGTTAAAATAAGCCACTAGAGATACCGAGCGCGTGTTCAAGGTCCTAAGCTGCATTCTAGGCCAATATATTGATTGCGTTAACTTCACTCCTATTCCATTCAAACCCGCACCCCCGGCCACATCACGGGAGGGGCGACCCAAAGGCTAGATGTCCTCACCATGTGCCTCACGTGTTGCGCGCAGTACGGTGCGAACATGCTGAACGCCGAGCTTGGACTTTTCCTTGTGAGCCAAAAGTGCTGATATTTTCACGGTATTTTTAATTTGCCGTCCGTTCATGGGCAGCTGAGCAAGCCGGCTGTATATGTCGTCGGTCAACGTGTTATCCAGCTCTAGCTGGGAGGTGAACTGCCTCCAAATTTGCTCTTTTGCAACCGAATCAAGGTCTGGGTAGTGTAGCGTGAGGTGAATTCTGCTTTGGAAAGCGCGGTCGATTGTGCTCGCACGGTTGGTTGTCATGAACATGATGCCGCGGTAATACTCGAGCAATCTAAGTTCACCCAGTCAGAAAGCCTAAAGCGGGAGGTAATATGGTAAATAGATTTCACCAACCTCAGAAAGACAGCGACAATCTCGTTGTGTGCCATGTTGCTTATTGATCGCTCTTGCAGGAAAACGTCGCACTCATCGAATAGCAGAACGGCATCCCACTTTTCGGCAAGCTCCAAAATTTCGTTGAGACGCGTCTCGATTCTTGTGGCATCCTGGCCTAACTCTCCTGCACTCAGCACATAAAGAGGCTTCCGGACCTTGTCGGCGATAGCTTCAGCGGTCAACGTTTTGCCTGTGCCAGGCTGACCAACAAGCAGCATAATGATGCCCATTCCTTTCCCCTCAATAATATCGTCAAATGCAAGCTGTTTGTCGCTTTGAGCCTCGACGAATGATAAGAGCAAATTTTGGTAGCCGTCGGGGAGTATGAGCTTTGGAAAGGCGCTATCGTTCCACGCGATATCGTTGATATTGTTCACATCGAAAGAAACCCAGCGCTTGAATTTCAGCGAGTATCCTCGTAGTCGTGTGTTGCAGAGCAAGAGTTGCTCGTCCGTGAGATCATATACTAAAGGTAAAGTCTTAGTTCGCCCGACACTGAACGACAAAACGCCAAGTGGTCTACAATCTCATCACTCACCAGGCCCAGACTCTCTCTCCTCCGGTATTTCTCCGTTTTCAATTTTCCTCCGGTTAAGCCTCTCTCGATGTCGGCTCTGGCGCATTCGTCCAGTACCGCATCTCCAGCCTCTATAGTCATCGTCATCACCATCTAGATGCTTCTCTTCTGTGACGTTAATTTGCGGCGCAATCGATTCAGAGTCGAGGTCCCTGAGGGTTTGCTGTTCGTCGGGGTTGGCATGGAAATAAGATGAAGCGTCCACAATAACACGTCCGTCAATCTTCACAGTGCCCTTGTTAGCAGTTTTTTTATATGCGGGAACATGGACTCATACATTGCGCTCGAACTCCTCTCCACAATATTGGTACCACACCAAGCCCGAGTAGGTCTTGTATTGACAACCGTGGAGATCCCTGAATTTTTGCCCCCGGTTGATGGCTTTTACTCGCGCCTCATCTTGGGAAGGGTGAAGATCTGCCGGGTATGCACCCAAATTAATTATGGCTTGGGTCCCAGTATACTCACAGATCGCAACGGATTCTTTCGAGTATCCGAAGCGATTTCCATCCCAATCGACAAAGTTGGCAGTAATGGCAAGATATCTATCCTTGACGTTGTAATTGCAGCCTTCGACGACATAAAACCGTTCGTGTCCCCCTTTGGATGCGACAATGAGCACACCAGGTTCAAAAAGGGCCCAGAGCAATGGATAAGTGATGACACCGTGGTGAACGTGATCGTCAATCTCAGACATCACATCGCCCAACTCCCTTTTGAGCTCATCGTAAAGTAGTACAGAGTGAGCAGCAGTAGCCGGATCTTCGCGTTTTTGGCGCTCCACTATTTCTGTAAAGAGTCCCCAACGATGGTAGAAAGGATGGAAAGGTGACTTGAAAACCACCTTTTTCAAAGATGGTGTAATGCCCTTGTATCCATTGAAAATTTCGCCTAGGGTCTTCTTCAGAGACGGGCTCTGAACCACGATGGAGTCGAGAACCAACGGTTTACCATCATCGTGATTTTTTCGCATGCGTTTTACGAAGGCTTTTTGTTTGATTTCGGCTTGATCTTCGACAGGCCGGCGCAGGTCATCGGGATACTCCTCGACCCAATTCTTGCAACACTCACACTTGGGAGGACCCTCGTACAATGTCTGTACGGCGCATTCAGAGCCTTCGGACAGCTGTTGCTCCGTGGTCTTGGGACTTGTAGATTCCGAGTCACGTTTCTCGGGCTGTAGAGTCTTCAGGGTGTTCGAGAGCGATGACGAGCTTGTATCAGAAGGGATCCCAAGATCGTCTATGAAGCTGTCTCTGCTAGCCTGGGACATGTTTGAATTAATGAGTTATGGAAGGGAGATCAAGCTGGATATGTGAGAAGCAAGCAACCAGAAAGCTGGAGACTGTCTATTTGACCTTATAAGCCCTCTGGTTCAATGATCGACGACAAAAGTACCTAAAATTCACCCGGGTATAGCGAGCGACCCGGGTCCAATACCACCCCTGTGGGCTGTGCTTGGTCGCTTAGCCCGGGTGCTTCATGTCGCGCCCGGCCACGTCAGCGTAGTAGGCTGAGGCTGATAGGCAGCACAAAATAGGCGCCGATCCAAAATTTGTGTGATTGGTCTTCTTGGTAAAATTGCTGGGGGCAATGCAAGGCCGACCATATAAATTCAGATGCGACAAGAGTAGACGGAGACACGAGATAGGCAGGTCGATTCGATCTCATCACAAACTCCCATTCAGACATGCAGAACCCTCACCGTCACCGGGAGGAAGGTTTACACAATTCTGAGAAGCTCCTCAACCAGATTTAGAGTATTCCCAAAGTTTTGATTATCACTTGCTCATATGGCTACCTGTTTGCCACCAAGAATGTCGGACTACTCGCTACCTTTCTTGAGTGACCTTCGACATGAGTTCAGCAACGAAGAAGTCGAGCAGATATGGCGGAATCGTGTCTTTCCGTTGGTTTTTACGGATGATTTCGCCAGCAATTGGTCCGCAGTTCGCGATCCCAATGGCATGTTCGTCGCACCCTCGGGCGCTCGCTGTCGCGTTGAGCCTCGGCCACACCACGAACCACAATGTCAGGTAATGATTCAGCAAGGTGACACACGTCATCAGGAGAGGATATCATATGAATCGATTATCTTCTCCAAGGTGGTGCATCAGATGTTCATCAACGAGCAGTCGAAGGGCTGCACAGAGCCTATCCAGGTTCAAAGACGAAAGTTTATCGACCAATTTGTCAGGAAGTTGCCAGCTCAGTGGCGCACGTTAGTCACTCTAGGCGACCTACATCTATACACGGAGCAAAATAAACAGATACCCTGGTTCATCAAGCTCGACATCTACTCTACTCTTGCGGATCCAAAGAACATACGACTGATCACGCTACAACCGAGCGGCGAATACAACGCAGTTATCACATGCACACTTTTTGAGGTAGACTGTACCTCTGGGTCAGAGTATGAAGCACTCTCGTATGTTTGGGGTGCCCCTGAATCGACGCGGAACATCTTGCTCAATGGCAAGATGATTCCCATTCGGGAAAACCTCGAGGCAGCGTTGAGACACCTGCGACGACGAGAGACCCCACGTACCATGTGGATTGATGGTATATGCATCGATCAATCCAATGTCGAAGAGCGGACAGATCAGGTCAAACAGATGGACACGATATACCGCAACGCGGTCGGGGTTGTGGTCTGGATTGGGCGGGAATCGAATACAAGTGCACGCATATTCGACAGTTTCGAATCACTGCTCAGGGACCTTAAGCAGCCGGAGAGTGCACTACTCTTCGATGGCTTCCTTGACTTCCCATTCCAGCCCGAGGCCTATTGCTCTCTATGTGATGGGGTCCCCCGCAAGGTTCCTTCCCAGCTCGTTGGCACCGTGGTGACTGAGAGCGTCGCCGATCGCTATACGAGAAGTGCGCAAGACCCTACTTTGATTCCACAGCGGTGGAAGGATGCACATACAAGGGACATCGAGGCTCTTGTTACACTTCTCAGGCGGCCGTGGTGGAGGAGAATTTGGGTATTGCAAGAGGCCATATTGGCGAAGAAAATCACCTTACATTGTGGACCAAGATCGATGGACTGGCCGATGTTCCAGGCGATTCTCTATACATATGTTCGTCAAGGGAAAAGATCAAGAATACACCACATTGGTGGGTTGTCCAGAGAAGCACGAAGGGCCCGAGCCCAGCTCCATTTACTTGTGTTGGCCAATAGTACCTTTGCTTTCTTCTTCTTGCAAAGTTCCTTGGTAGCTAAGAAGCAATTTCCTGAGCTGTCCATGGCAAACCTGCTCTCTCTTACCTGGAACTTTGATGCGACAGATCCTCGTGATAAATTATTTGCTCTGATCGGCCTTCTCCCAGAAAACAGCCCCGAACGGGTCCAGTTCACACCCGATTATACTGCCAACGTGAAGCAGCTCTTCATCCATGTGGCTAAGAGTTTCCTTGAGACAAGCTGCACATTAGACGTCATCACAGCAAGACCTCCCCCGCCTTCTTACTTGGTCTCGAAGTCCCGACCTCATTGTCCAGAATGGGAGCTTGATGCTCCATCGTGGGTTCCGAATTGGAAACTACTCCAGCTCTGGCATCTCAATTCAATCTGGATCAGCAACTTCTCCCAGTTCAACACGATGAATTTGTATACAAAAACCAGCATTCATGAGCATGAACCAGACTTTGAGTCTGTTGATTCAGAAGTCACCCCCGAACAGAGTTTGCAGGTCTTCAATTCCAGCTTGCAGAAAACGTCGCCATTCCCATTCGAGTTTTCAGAACACAGCGAGATCCTCCACGCGTGCGGCATGACGGTCGACATCGTTGAGAAGGTCGGCCAGCCCTGGGATCTGGCTATGGCGACCTTTGCGGCCCACGATCCTACTGATCCCCATAACTCAGAACGGAATGTGCACGACGCTCAAGTAGCTATTATTGAACAGTGGAAGTCTATTGCTCAACTCGATGTTAAAGCAGAATACTCTTTCACCCAGCAATCTCGGAGTGAAGCTTTTTGGCGCACACTCTTCCTAGACCGATACCGCTCTACCCACACTCACGACGGCACATATCAAATTCATCGAATCCCAGTTCAAGTGGGGGAACAGGAAGCTAATCATATATTTGGCCCCGCAGGGCTTACATGTGTCTTTCCTCCCCAGACAACCGAAGACGAGCAATGGCTGATATATTTCCTCCGCCACGAGCTTACTGAGATGGGGAACTTCGCCAACGTCAATCTTCACTGTGCTAATCTCAGTCTATTCAGAACCGTGAAGGGATATATTGGAGTGGGCCACCCAAATATGCAATCTGGTGATAAGGTGGTTCTTCTTTTGGGAGCCCCAGTTCCACTCGTACTCCGGGAGTATGAAGAGGGCCATGTCCTCATTGGCCAAAGGTTTGTCTTATTATTCTTTACAAACTCCCAGTTCCACGTACTAATCTTTATCTATCATAGCTATGTTCACGGCATCATGGACGGAGAATACTTACAGGCCGAGCGTGATCAAGGTCGAGGCACAAAGCAAGAGGATTTTGAATCGTTTGCTATTATCTAATTTGATACCCGTTTGGCCCTGACATTCGCCCTTGTTGACCCTCATGCAAACGTTTTTTGCGGAAAGAAATCAACTTTGGCTCTGGGTATGGTTACATTGGATGATCTGATCGAAGGCTAGCATGGTGTGTTATTTGAAACACAATTCAATATTTAGCTATATTCGCGATGTAATGGACGGAAAAGTCATGGAAGCGGAGCGGGATTATTGTCGAAGGAAAGGGAGTTTAGAATCAACCAACCATGGCTAACCCATGGGCAATACTCGATAATGCGTACAGTAGATCCTTTCCCTTAGGCTCCCCACTGCAGCTGAGCTGCGATTGAAGGAAATTCCTCTCATAGGATCCTACCTTGGTGCAAAATAGCAATGCTCACAATTATCATATATGGTGAAAGATTTGCGCTGCAATGTACTTCGCTTCCATGTACAAGGCTTCAACGATAAGCAGCCTTTTGTTGAATTGGAGTAAGAATGAGGTGGTAAGAAAACAAGAATATGTTTAAAAAGAAGAGAAGAGAAATAAATTCGTACTGACTGAGACCCAGAAGAGACCTGGGCATTGAAAATTGAGGATGTACGTGCAAGCCCATGGGTTGACGGGGGGAGGGGGGCGGGGGCGGGCAGGGCTCTTTAAGTATTGGAACAGAAGGCTTGGGTTGGGGGGTTCAGCATCTAACAAAAGGACCCTGAGCAACCATGAGGTGCTCAGTGAACAAATACTCCAAGTGGGCCGATGGTAGTCACGTGATGTGTTGATGACTAAGCATTTGGTAAATAGGACATTTTTGGCGCCCAATTTACCGTCACCTAGCGTTGTGGTGTAATCGAGGACATTCTTCAACAATTTTTACATTCTCGAGATCACAGTTATATCACAAAGCCTAAAACTTGAATCGGTATATATAGAACTCATTTCACTATAAAGAATAAGGAAGATCCCGCCTATGGGGCTTGGCTGTAGAAAATATATTAACAGCAGCCGGCGCAAGCGGACAAGCTCCACTGGCTTACCCGTCAAAATGCGGGGATAACTATATTGGCTTCATCTCTGCTTTCAGTCGCTCTCCCAAAGCTGAATGAGAGCATCGCGATATTTATTCTACTCTGTAGTCCAGTGAATGGAATCGAGAGGATCACAATGGCTATCATAGGTAAGCCAAGATAGGACATTACAGTTTTAAGCTTGAAGGTTTCGGTTGATGAGACCATCGGCCAAGTTCCGATATCACCTTGTTTTGACTAAGAGCTTTTACCCCGCAAATAGGGGGCTTCCCTGCGCCTCTTGAGGCATTAAAACGGCTCTTATCAAAAGTATTAGTTTCTTAAGGTTATCACTTTTGAGCTGTGACCCTTGGTCAATCCCCTCCAGGGCTAGTCAACCATGGTCTGCCCCCGGTTAATTCCCGATAAGCTTATCACTTGGCAGATCTTCCAGGTTACCATCGCCTTCTCCTCCCCCTTTTGGGATAATCCCGATAAACTCGCTGACTCTGGTCAAGGTCTCTCTTATCAGTGGTCTACCAGTTCTCGTGTATCGCCAAGCCACGTTCTTGGCAGCTTGGTTCAGTAGTTGCATGACATGTATGCCGTCTATCTATCAAAATTCCTGGCGTCTCTCTCCGCACGCACTTGACCCGAAGGTCGGTGCACATATAAAGAGTCATGATCCCGCCTCTTGCAATGGAGTCATCTCAGGCTCGAGTAATATTTCGTCATGGAGAAGAAAGATTCTATAGACGTTTCTGTCCCGAAGGATACTAGCACGGGCGAAGTTCTACCCATCCGGCAGACAAAACGCGGTCTGACGTCTCGACATGTGCAATTAATGGCTATCGGAGGTTCAATCGGTACGGGTCTTTTCGTCGGTATCGGGTCCTACCTGCGGGATGCCGGTCCGCTGTCAGTGTTCCTTGGGTATCTTGTTTGGGGATGTCTCTTTATCTTGCCTGTCAATCTGTGTGTTGGAGAAATGGCTGCATACCTTCCTATTCGTGGGTCGATCTTTGAGCTCGCTGCCAGGTTTATTGACCCGGCATTTGGTTTTGCTATGTGAGTTTTTCCATGTTCTATCCTGCTTTGCTTTACGCTGCAGACACTAACTCTACTAGGGGCTGGGTCTATTTCTATGGCGGTGTAATGTTAGTATGTACGGAATACTCGGCAGTCTCAACAATCATGCAATACTGGAACACAAGCGTCAACCCGGCCGTCTGGGTAGCCATGGCACTGATCGTTTGCACGGCGCTCAACCTTGTCTCCGTGAAATGGTACGGTGAGAGCGAATTCGCCCTAGCATCGACAAAAATCCTTCTCCTCATCGGCCTCGTCCTCCTCACCTTCATCACAATGGTTGGCGGAAACCCCAAGCACGACGTCTATGGCTTCCGGAATTGGACCGAGGGCGTCATGTTCGAATACTATACCGAGGGCACCACGGGTCGATTTTTGGGCTTCTTCTCCGTCATGGTCTACGCAGCCTTCTCCGTGGCTGGGCCCGATCTCCCAGCCCTCGCCGCAGGAGAGATCCAGAACCCACGAGTAACCATCCCCCGAGTTGCGAAGATGACATTTTGGCGTATTGTGGGATTCTACGTCGTCGGAGTGCTAGCTGTAGGCATCATCTGCAGCCCACGCGACCCCCGTCTTATTTCCGCGATTAGTGACGGTGCTGCTGGCTCTGCTGCTTCACCTTGGGTCATCGGAATCGAAAACCTCGGTATCAGCGGCCTACCCGATCTGATCAACTTCCTAATTCTGTTATCGGGTTGGTCGTGTGGCAACGCGTACCTTTACAGCTCCAGCCGAACACTCTACTCTCTAGCTCGCGATGGTCAAGCGCCGAAGTTCCTTTTGAAATGTACCGCATCCGGCATCCCTATCAACTGTGTCATCACGGTGTCTATCTTGTCTTGCATTACTTTCCTCGTGGCTAGCACTTCTTCCGTCGAGGTCTTCTTCTGGTTCGTCGATCTGACTACCATCGCCTTCGTGCTCACCTACACGGGCATGGTCTGTGTCTTTATTGCCTGGTACCGCGCCATGAAAGCGCAAGGAATCGATCGCAAGTCGTTTGTTCCCTGGGTTGCACCCTTCCAGCCATATGGTGCCATTCTTGCTATCATTATTGGCTGCTTGACCGCTGTCTTCAATGGCTTTTCTGTCTTCAAGCCTTTCAATGTGCAGGGGTTCATCACTTCATATTTCGGTCTGGCGTTCTGGGTTGTCATGTTTGTCTTCTGGAAGGTGTATCATCGGAGTTCCTTTGTGAAAGTTGCAGAGGCAGATTTGTACACTGGGAAGGCTGAGATCGACGAAGAATGTAAGATCTGGGAAGAAGGTGATTGGGCGGAGCGACGAAAGGAGGAACTGGCTAATATGAATTGGGTCCGGCGAGTATGGGAAAAAATGTGGTGATTATCTCTACATTTGGTGCTTTGTCTGTATATATACACATATTTTATTCTTCATGGAATCATACTCCCCTCATTTGATATTTGCTATCTCCAAATCCTATAGAGACAAAATGCTCCTAAAATAGTAGGCATATTTCCTTTTTTTTCTCCTAGGCCCCAGCATGAATCATCTTAGGGATTTTATTTGGGTGATCCAACCTCGAGATGGATTAGCTGATACGATGTAAGGGAACAAATTAAGTATTAATTATCGTCGTCGGCAAATATAGTTAGAGAGAAAGGAACGTCAAATCTAACTCTTTTCTGCATCTAAATAGGTATATAAGAGATAGACTATAAGAGTTGTACCTGCCATAACCGGTCTGATTGGTCGGGTGATGTTTAAGGGCACGCACCGGTGGGGACCGGGAGTGGAAAAGAAAAGTTGCCCGGTTCAAGCTTCTCCAGACTTACAAACAACAATCAATTCCACCATGTCCACCATGTCAACTCGCTCCGCATGGCGAGCTTTGCACTACAGCGCCAAGCGTCGCGCTGTCCAACCCACCACTCCCTACCGTTGTTTCTCTTGTGCCAGCCGCACCCAGGAGCAGAAGCCAGCTGACCGCATGACACACTTCGGCTTCACCAATGTTCCCGAGTCAGAGAAGGAGACGCGAGGTAAATATCACCATCACTCTATCCAATTGATAACCACTGTCTCAATCCGACTAAACCCGACCCCATAACTAACCACCACACCCCTGCAGTCGGCGCCGTCTTCAGCTCTGTAGCGGCCTCCTACGACCGCATGAACGACCTAATGTCCCTCGGTATCCACCGCCTGTGGAAAGACCACTTCGTGCGATCCCTGAACCCAGGCTCCTGCCTACCCGCCATGACTGCCGACCAGCGCGGCTGGAACATCCTGGACATCGCTGGCGGGACCGGCGACATCGCGTTCCGCATGCTCGACCACGCCACGAACGTCAACCACGACATGGAGACCCGAGTGACGATCAGCGATATCAATGCTGATATGTTGGCTGAGGGCCGCAAGCGCTCTCTCGACACGCCGTACTACAACTCGTCGCGACTGGACTTTGTCGAGGCGAACGCTGAGCACATGCCGCATATCCCCGACGCCTCGGTTGATCTGTACACTGTCGTTTTTGGAATCCGGAACTTCACGGATAAGCAGGCTGCGCTGAATGAGGCGTATCGTGTGCTCAAGCCTGGTGGTGTCTTTGCTTGCATGGAGTTCAGCAAGGTCGATAACCCCATTCTGGATGGTATTTATAAGCATTGGAATTTTAGTGCTATCCCGCTTATTGGTCAGGTTGTTGCCGGTGACCGTGATAGCTATCAGTATCTCGTTGAGAGTATTGAGCGCTTCCCCAGCCAGGAGGAGTTTAGGGGTATGATTCAGAAGGCCGGGTTTTTGATTCCTGGCCAGGGCTTTGAGAACCTCACCGGTGGAATTGCTGCTATCCATAAGGGTATTAAGCCGATTGTTAAGGCTTGATTGTGGAGCGGTGTTGTGTTGTGCGGGGAGGTGTTATGTACTATATAGATTTGGGACTTTGCATACTGATTGTATTACCA